CTACGTGTACTATACTCACTGCGAGTATTTATACTCACATATCGTGTATTTATACTCACTGCGTGTATTTATACTCACTGCGTGTACTTATACTCACTACGTGTACTATACTCACTGCGTGTACTTATACTCACTACGTGTATTTATACTCACTGCGTGTATTTATACTCACTGCGTGTACTTATACTCACTACGTTACGGTTCATGAACAAAGACACAAGACTTTTGATGCTTTTCATCGTTTGTATTGTTGTTTGTTTACAGAATCAGAGACCACACCCCCCCCCCCCTTGGTATTGGTCCCTGAAGCGTGGCTCCTCCTACCCGGGGTAGGGAAACCTGAGGAGCGCGGCCTGTCCGGGGCCGAGCCGCAGCTCCGTCAGGTCCACCACGCCTCCGCTGCCGTCGGTGCGAAGCACCACCTCCGCCTTCCGGGGCAGCGCCGCACCGCCCAGCTGCAGCCGCGCCTCCTGCCCCGCCCAGTTGAAGGCGGCCACGTAGCGCTCGCTCTGATCCCAGGTACGCAGGTACGCCAGAAAGGAGGAGGAGTTAGAGAGGAGCAGGAAGTCCCCAAACAGCAGGGAGCGCTCCTTTGCCCGGAGCTCGCTGGCAGCGCTGAAAAAGCGGAGGCAGGACAGACGCTCCGCCCGCTTCTCCTGGGAGAGACGTAATAATACTGCTGTACTAGTACTCCATAAATGCTAGTACTATAGCTATAGCATTTCGACTATTTGTACTTCCCCTACTTGTACTCTTGCAGTACCAGTACTTGTACTCCTTGTACTTTGGTTTATTTTACCTTCAAAGTCCCATTCAGCTCCTCGTCAGAGTCCCAAAGCATTTTGGGAAACGCGTTGTCCTTTAAGACAAAAGGCGATAATAAACAATCACATCAGTGACCACAAGGACTCCTCCGCCACCACCTCGTCCTCACCTCGTCCCTCAGGCCAATCTCGTCCCCGTAGTTGAAGACGGGCGTCCCCGGCAGCGTCAGCAGCAGCAGCTGGTGCAGCTTAACAAGCGCCGGCCCCCCCAGCGAGGCCAGGTGACCCCCGGCCCGTCCCGCCAGGCGCCAGGCCAGCCCGAGCTGGCTGTGGGACGAGTACAGCAGCTGGACGGACTCCGCGAGCTCTGCGGCGTCCCTCCCGCCGGCCCGGAGGACTCCGGAGACCAGCAGGTCCACGCCGGTGGAGTTGAGGAGGACAGAGACGTCCTCGGCCGCGGAACGCTCGGTGACGCCAATCAGGACTCTGGAGGGACAAGGGACAAGCGTTACCAGAGGACTCGGGCGTCCTAAAGGTCCCGGTGGACTCAGGTGTCACAGACTATGACCTCTTGTTGGGACTCTCCTCCGTCCCGTTGTGGACGATGGCTCGGATGTCTGTCCACAGAGACGGCGCCATGGCGGCCACTCGCTCCACCCCCGACAGCTGCACGCCGTCCACGCCTTGCTTCATCCAGAAGACCAGAGCGGACTGAGGACAGGGGGACAGAAGAGTTCAAAGACCGGGTCACAGATTCCGGTTTCACTTCTGTTCAGGGGACGAAGAGGCTCAACTACATTTCCCATGATGCTCGGGGGGACGTAAACAGGGAGTGTAATAGTGAGCTAGCCAATGTGTCTCTCAGCCTGTCTCGCTGTGTCTCTCACCTTCAGCCTCTCAGCCACGTTGGTCACGCTGGTGTTGGAGAACCAGGGTCCAGATGAGCCCCGGTAGTTTGGAGTCAGATCCAGAACCACGGAAATCCCTGCAGAGACGTCGTGAGGTAATAACGTGACGATTAGAACGACGTCGTGTCAGCGGTCAAACATCCGGTACTAAACGTGGCGTTCGTCACCCTTCTTATGCGCCGCGTGGACCAGGTCTTTGAACTGGTCCAAGGTTCCAGACTCAGAGGACACCTCCTCAAACCTCAGACCCACCGCGTCATCTGCTGGAGCCACGTGGATCGGACCAATCAGCAGACCTTTGACCTTCATCTGAGACAGACGGCCCACCTTCTGCTCCACACCTGAGGGGGGACAGAGGAGGAGACGGAGAAGAAGAGGACGAGGAGGAGAAAGGAGAGGCGGGTTAGGAGGAGTAATCGAACCTCAGTGAGGAAAAGAGGAGGAGCGAGTTCCCACCTCGCTCCTCCTCTTCATGAATAACGAATATCGATGTAATATAAATATAAATGTCGTCACCCTTCAGGTCCATCGGGGCGCTGAAGACCTTAATGTCACCGATCTGGTACATCGGCCCCTCGTTCCACCAGCTGGAGGACGGAAGGTCTCTGCAGCGAGGAGCCTGCAGGACGATGAGGACGGCTCCACCCAACATCCCCAACCAGCCCAACCAGAACACCACCAGCAGAGACCAGCGCGTCCTCACCCAGCTGGGGAGACAGGGGGGAGACGGGGGAGGAGGACAAGTCAGGGTGGGGGAGAGAAAAGGTGCAGGAGCGGAGTGGTGAGAGGAGCAGCAGGACGGAGACAAGGACACCAGGAGGGAGAGACCAGGAGACAGGCACGAGGACACATGGAGGAGGACGAGGGGACATCAGACATGTTGAGACATTAAACTATTATACAATGGTGTGTGTGTCGAGGCCTCCTCACCCCGGAGTCCCCGCCACCCTCAGCAGCTCCTCCTTGTTCAGTCCGGTGAATTTCACCACCTTCTCCTCCACCTCCTCCTCCTCCTCCTCGTCGGGGATCTTCAGCTTCACGGAGCCGTTCTTCTCCTCCGCAGACGGCGCGTCCTCCGCCCGCTCCGCTCCTCCGGTCATCGGCTGTTTCTCCTGCTCCTCCTGGTCCAGATCCGCCTCGCTCACATCGGCCTCGGTCGCATCCGCATCGGCGGGGGCCGGGGCCGGGACCGGGGCCGGGACCGGGGCCGGGGCCGGGCCGGGAGCCGGGGCCTCCTTCGGATCCGCATCTTTGGTCTCAGCATCCTTCAGGTCCACGTCGGTCTCCTCCGTGTTCATACCGGCGATGATCCGGTACCGATCCGGATGTGAGAATCACACAGCGGCTTAGCGTCAGAGGTGAGGGCGAGGTTCTCTGTCTGTCTCTCTGTCTGTCTGTCTGTCTCTCTGTCTCTCTGTCTGTCTGTCTCTCTGTCTGTCTCGCTCTCTGTCTCTCTGTCTGTCTGTCTGAAAGGCTGCAGCAAATGATGCCTTCACTGCGGTTGGAAACACGGGAACTTCGGCTCTCCTCTCGCGTGTTCTATAGGTTGTTGTTGTTGTTGTTGTTTATTGTTGCATATTCAGATAGAACACAGATATGAGTCGCGTGTTACACATCACTACACACTCGCCTTAGAGAACCTGAATACGCAACAATAATCATAATAATAATAATGATAATAATCATTACGCTGCGTCCGCCAGCTGGCCAGATGTTGACACTGCAGGAGATCAGAGAGCAGCACGTGTGACGCTTCACAACAGCATGAAGCAGAGAAAAGGTGGAGAACCACATCAGACCAAAGACACCATCAGCCCCCACCTGTGACGTAGATGTACTGTCATAGTAGTAGAGTACTAGTACTAGTACTACATCTTGTTCATTGCAACGAGACAAAGGAGTCAACATTAAATAACTTGTTTCATGTTTTTCACATGTCTGTTATTTCATATCCCACCGTCTGCGTTTGTTGCTGACACACATCTTACGTTTGAATGTTTAATGTTAATTGGTGTTCTAGTGTTTGTTCTTTTGTACTTCCTGTAATAAAAGGTCTTTGATTGAAGAACTGAGGAAAACATCTGATTCATATTTCTGAGCTTTTCACAGAGATACAATGCTAGTATACATACATACAGTGTGTAGCATGTGTACTACCTCACACACCAGAAACAAACCCCTACAACCTGTGCAACTAATTATTTACTAACTAAGTTAAAACCTCTTTAAACCCGCCCACTTTTCAGCTGCTCAGAATTTGCATTGACATTTAGGGGGGATTCAGATGTGTGAATATTAGTGTCTGTTACTGGTTACTAATAAATGAAAATGACAAACAGCAGAAATAATAAAAGTTTCAGGTTTTCCAAAAGATAAAACCCTTGCAGGATGTTCACCACTTTGGAATCACGCAATTGAAGCTTTAAACTTCTCATAGCTCCGTACATGGACATTCTCTCTGCAAAGTCTGGCTTGGATTAAGTGAAGCAGAAGAAAATTAGTTTGTAGTTTGTAGCATTCACAGTTCAGACAAGGTCTCCGCATGTTGGCACATCTGTGCCGTTTGTATTTCCTCATGTACCAAATGATATATTTCCCTTGCACATCGCTTATGGTGTTCAATACATCCAAATACAGTTTGGGACTTAAAAAAAGAAATATATACATATATAGAAGCCCCGCCCCCTGACTGTAATTACGTGAGACTTTACAACTTTGTAACTTTGCAACCTTTATTTCTTCTTCGCTTAGGAACGGCACCCAAATGTGACTGAGCTCAAGCTGTAATCCGCCCGGGATCTTTCTGAGCTCCTGCCGGTGTGTCTGAGTACCGGGGAGCTCATGCTGCCCACAGGCCCCACTCAGGGTGACCTCTCGCCCCCAGGGGGCTCTCATCTTAGTACTATCAATACCATTAATAATAACAGTAACAATAGTATTAATAATAACAGCAGCAGAGAAAATACACAGAAATATCAAAATACAAATACTGGAATGAATGATCTTAAAGAAACAGAGTTGTTATTCAAAACACGATGACAGGACATATATTTATATGTTTACAAGAGAAAAGCCTTTGGAAACATATCCACACTGTTGTTGGTTGTGAAATATTTTAAAACTATCTGTGAAAAACAAACACGTCACAGCGCCCCCTGACGTCAGCTAAAAATGCTGCCTTCCATGACTGTCGGAAACCGCACTCTCCTCAGGATGAGGCATGTTCAAGTACTCACAAGCAAGTCTTTTATCAAAGTATATCAACGTGATTAACAGAATACATGGTTTTATTTCATGAATTTGTTTTATTGATTAAAAAAATGAAAGTTATAATTTATGCAAGAGACCATCAAAAGTACTAGAAAGAGTAGAAAAGAGGATGATTACAAACATGATGATGACAAATCAACTTCAATAAATCAAATGTACATTTTTTTTAAACAGTGATGATGACCCATGTGGCATATTAATGATCTAACCTGTAATGAATAAAACAAAATAAATGAATACACAAACGTATAAATACATTTAAAACGTAGTTTAAAATAAATAACTACACATCTCGGAAGTAAGTATTGCACTTTTTAATGTACTACATCTCAGGTGTACATATTGTATTTTTCAACCAACAAATTTGGTCTGACTGTGACAGTGTTACTTTTAGAAGAACAAAATGATGTTGTAGTTTACTACTTATCCACCTTGGGGTTAGCTAGGTGCTAACCTCAACTAAACTAAACTACATTAATATAATGCTCTTATTAAACTATTTAATAAAAACAACAAAAGGAGAATGAATGCGATGATCATGAAACTTTCAATTGAGTCAATTCCTCTTATTTATTCTTGGGAAAACATTTAGAAATCAAGATATTTTTTAGGTGAAGTTTCATATTTCCGAGCTCTGGACTTGTTCCTGAACGCCTCCGCATCAGCGCTCCATTTCGGTCCGCTGTGTTCTGGTCGTCGCCTCGCGCTCCACTCGGACCCTTTTACACCGTTTACCGCACAAAATGGGAACTCTTTAATTTAACCGGAACCGGAGATACACGTAGCGGCCTCAACCACGACAGTTGGACCGAAGAACCGCCGCAGCCGAGGCTCTCTGTGCCGAAGAGAAAGAACAGAAAAAGGTGAGTGGCTCATCCCGGGGCCGGCGTCGCTCGTTAGCGGAGTCCCCGGCTCAGCGCTGCGGCCTTCCGGCGCTCCCGGAACTCGATCTCCGCGGTTCGCGTCCGGACCCTGAGGCCTCCCTCTGGGTTCCGTTCATTCCGCTGAGTATACGTTAACCCTGCTTTTAAACCACGCGGGCCGTGAGACAGTTATTGTTTTTAGTTATTGAGAGGGGGTTTAGCTGATGTTTACTGCCAATAGATACGGTTTATTTCCTCAAAACCGATGACGCCGCTGTTACTTAAGCTAGTGTTAGCGTCTGGGCTAGCTAGCGTCAGTGTCCAGGCTGGCTAGCCTGCTGCTAATCAGCTAACGTTAATATTAGCGGGGTTTGTAACTGGTTTATTTATTTGCTGGATAACAAACTAGCGATCGTCTTACACTGTTGGACCTGTGTATTTGAGTTAATGACATTTTCTGACAGTCGCAGTTTGTTTCACCGGCATGACAACATCGCAGGTGCTAATTAGCCACGCAAGGCTAACGGCTAGCTTAAGGTGGCCGTGAAACAACCCCCTGTGTACCCGACTGGACAGCTCGCTAGACGGCTTAACGGTGGAGGAAACACGTCCCCATGTTATCCTCTTACGTTGGTGTGAGTCGGGGGGGGAGGGGGGCTCCCTGTGTCCCGGGCAGGTGATGAGACGCGGGGTCACTTCCACTGTTTACTCGTAACAGCAGTTTGTGACGTCGTGCAAGTTTGTCTCAGACAAAGCCGGCTTGGTGGAGTGTGGAAACTACATGTAGTACTTTATAATCTCAGAGGTAAGTATTGTACTTTATACTGTACTATATCTCAAGTTAGATATTGTACTTTTTGAATTTGAATAGTAACTTATTAAACTCCATAATGTAACTGGATAGAAATGGTGTAATAATGAAGATCGTTTATTGGACCTTCTTCCCACAGAAGCCCGATCAGCTGTTCCAGTCTTCCTCTGGGGGAAGTGACCCTTAAGTGGGCCTTGATTATTAAGTTAACCTTTTAGGATTTCCTTTGTCCGCGTTGTCTTGTAGACGTATATATAATTTACAGAACGACTAACGATTTTATTTATACTCTAAATGTTACGTCCATTTTAAGTTGTTAAAATGTTCAGCCAATTTCCAAGCATAATTTACAGAATGTGAACCAGAGCATCATTATACTGTCTATAAACATTCAAATTATAGATGATTTATTGGAGCATACTGGGGTCCCGAGTACGATACTTTGGTTGCACAACAAGTATTGAAATGTTTTTCTAAACTGTATAACTCTGCTAACAGCTGACTGAGAGACGAGACAAAACAAAAACATTGTCATGCGGACTAGTGGTTAAAACAGATGATATCGAATAAGATCAATTAAAAAATCTGAGCAGGAATTAAGTGAAGCACGGTTTATTCTAAAAATCCAACTCGCACCTTTTTTCCACCAAAACCGGTGACGTGTATGCAGGTTCTTTTGTGCCGTCATCAGTGAAGACACGGGCCGGGTTCAGTCTGATCTCAGGTCCGAGCTTCACCGTGGACTGTGTCTCTGCGGGTGTTTGACTCGTTTATTTCTCTGGATCGGCTTAAAATCAGGACTTGACATTAGGGTTGTCACGATACCAAAATTATGACTTCAATACTATACCTGCCAAAATATTACGGTACCCGATACTTACAATACCACAAATAGAATAATGGAATATATTTATCTATTATAGTAATAAATAAAACATCTGTACGGTTCCTTTTTTTACCTGGTATCTGTTTGACTGTCTGTGGGATGAACAATGCTTTATTTACTTGCATAGTTTGATATTCTCACATTCATATTTCCTTAACTAAAAATATAAAGGATTAGGTGAAGATCCACCCTCCACCAGCATGTAGCCTATTGCATCAAGTGTGTATTATTTGGTACAGTTTTGTGTGCATTCTGACCTCATGATCCTATCGGCCCACATGAGTGAACTTGTAGGTTGTTTTGCATGTATATATTTCTGCTGGACTATTCAGGAACTTGTTTGGGGTCTTGCTTTGTCTTGTGTTGCTTGATGTTTGACTGTTAGGAAAGTTGTTGTCAAGCTAGCCAACAAAGATACAGGGCTGCCAACTCTCACGGTTTCCCCGTGTCACACGCGTGTTTCCATGTTTTCACACTCACTCACGCCACACATCCAATTTATTACGCAAAAAATAAAAATCTGCGCTGGTTCATCTAAACGGCGCATCTATAACCCGATTAGCGTAACTTACACCCCCCGTCAGCCGTAGCTTCACCCCCAACGTCTCACTCCAAGGTTTAGTGAAAAGTCCCTATAACATTACAAAGAAGCCGACTCGAGAGCACTTCATACTAGCATCAATATGCTAGCGTTTTATAACAAGCTTGCTAACATTGCTAACGAGATGTCTGCTAGCGGCTAAACTTACTTTGTTTATGACAAACTAGCAAGTCAACAATTTTCCAAACACAGTCAAACATCAAGCAAGTGCAACACGAGACAAAGCAGACGTCCTCTTTTACCCGGACGTTTCCTCTTTTCCAGACCTAAAAAATGCGCCCGGGTAAAAGAGGACGTCTGGTCACCCGAGCTAAGCGATACCTTTCTAGTACCGGTACACCGTGCAACACTACTCGACATGCAATAACCCGGAAGGTGCTGGGGGGGAAGTTGGACCCGGGACCTGATTCTGCGAGGACACAGTGCTAACCACCACAGATCAATCAAAGGTCAATGCAAAGTCCTCCCCTCTCCTCAAAGCTCCCCTTGAAGTCATAGGAATTTGATTAATAAAGAAGCTTTCACATCATTTTTCCAACCGTGGCTTTTGCTGCCGACCTCAATCAGGACGCAGACCACTGACGCCTCAGAGGGTTCAGGGGGGCGAAAGCCAAACCTGTGACCGACTGGGTTCTGCTGTG